TTTCTCTATGTTGCTCTGAGGGTTTTCAGACAGAAAAAACCTACTTTGAAGAGTAAAGACGAAACCACGCTCGTGTGTTTCTATAGCCCAAACTGACTAACAGCTGGTTCAGTACATTCATCTATTACCTCAGCAATCGAGTTTCAGCAGGTGACACCACGAGGATCAGCTCCTTATCCTGCTACCAACACCTGAAATGGTACGTTCCCTTTCAAGTGCATGCCAAACACACCAGTTAACAACCAGAAAACATACATGTACGTCAAAAATAGACAAAATTATTTTAATAGACTTGTTTGGCTGTCCAAAAAATTGAGGCAGCACTCTGAGCGTTCAGGGCTCCTGGGTCCAGACCACATGGAGTCAGGCAGGATCAGCTGCATTTTCTCTGGGTACATCACTCTGTAAGTTCATGTTCAATCAATCCTCGCTGAGTCAATTCAGGGGGTTCGACCTGTCTCGTTTGAACAGAGTTTTGCTGAGAACTGCTGCGTGTTTCTCCAGGACAAGTTGGTTGCTGCTGAGGGTGATGAATGAATTTGGCCATACACCATGACATGTCTAACCAGCTGACAATATCAATATCAGGCAATAGGCAAATCACATCGGTAAATAAAGCCACGTTTCTGCACACTTTTTTTCTAGTCTACCTAAAGGTATAAGCTCCTAAAATTTCATTAATGTAACTTGACACTAAACAAACAGAAGCCAAGGAGAATATCCCCACTGCATTCAAATAAAAATGTTGATGGTCTGAATGCATTGTTTCCATGAGGAAAAAGATGGATTTGAATCTGACATATTACCCCAGCATGGGATTTTCGGCTACTGAAAGATATATTTAATTCAATAATAGATAGGCCAAAATGATTAGAAATATGCAGGCATTCAGACAGAATGCCCACAGATATGCATGCAAATCTCCAACTTGGAACATGTTAGGCAGAAAAACATCACGATAAACTCAAAAACATAAACATGATCACATTAATGATGCAAAAAAAAGAGACTTGTACAAACATGGCGTAAAATCTAAATATCTCCTGATATCTCCTGGGAAAAAAGGAAATAAACAACAGAACAAAACCCTCGTTACTTGTAACATAATGCAGACAATGCAACCCTGGTTGATAAACATGCAGTACCTTTGGTTAATTTCAAATGATGGCAACAAGTCAACTTGTGAACAAAGTTTGCCCAGTGTGAAATCAGCCGTGGAACAGAAATATTTGTCTCATTTATCTAGTTTGTATTGGTCAGCAGAGTCAAAATCAAGTCAACACAACCTGTCGTATGCCAGTCACAGGTCGCTTAGTCCTGATCCAACTCCTAAACTATTTATGTGAACTGCACCCCAGGGGTTCCCTTGCCATTGTTCATATCGTCGGTTCTGATCTAACTCGTTAACTGGTTTGTGAATTGACTTGAGGACCAGATAACTGACTCAATTCCAACCTTGCTGGTTGGCAATAAATTGAAGTATCAATTGAATAGTATAATAAATGAAATTGAATAGTAGTAACATTTTAGAAAAAAAAAATCGTTACCTGTAGAAGTGAAACGGTGACCTGCACTTTGGGCCATACCGGTATGTTATATCACTCTTATGCTTTGTTCATGGCCTTTAATGCTGTGTACATGTTAATTAAACACCCAAATAAATCTCTGGAATGTGATCCATCCTTACTATGGGTCATTGACATTATTCGGGATATTCAATGGTGCGACCACAAAATAAACTCTGTTATACATACTGTTGAATTATGTGGGCAAATAATGCACAGTTGTAGCTCTGCACACAAACTAAAAAAAATTTCAGGTAAAAACCTCATAGCATGCCTTTACGCCAAGCTAAGAAAGTAAACTAACGACATGTACGCAGAGTAGATTCATGCAGATGCTGTATAAAAGAGCTTTTGAAAGTTTCACATTTGTGCAATGGAAAGAGTTAGCTTCATTTGACATACTGAATGTTCCATTCTACTCGGCCTTGCCTCCTGAACAGAAAATGGAACAATCTGCCACCCCATGAAGTACCACTGCACTCATAGACGTTCATTTTTTGTATTATTTATGAATCACTTTCAAGATGTAGGTACCCGCTACTACATCTGATTCGAACCAGCCAAGCTCGGTGGTCGAGTGGTTAAGACGTCTGCACTAGTAAGGAGGATGTGGGTTCGAACCCCACCCGAGTAAGCTTGTGAATTTTTCTGCGAGCTCTCAGACAAGCACTGAATATACATGTACAGTGTCTATAAATATATACATCAGGTGAGGGCAAAACATAATTGAATTATCAATCACGGTAAAGAACTAATGTGCATCAATAGACCTTTCTAGCACATCCAATCATATGAATGGGCACAGTGTACACATCTGTCCCATTAGTCTTAAAGAGGGATGTACCTGTATTTTCGCTCAGTTTTAGTTGGTGTTATGATTGCTGCGTAATATTTTTAACACTTTTTAGTTTGAAAGCCTCTGGTAGGCAAAACTGTGATTTTGACAGAGGAGAAAAAGCACAAGTCAACTTATGCAGAGTAACATAACCTTCATTCTACCGTACATGTACCTCTCACTTAAACCATATTTAAAAGTAAAAAAAAGTAGTCTCATGCCACACACGTGACAGACTTCTTCCCAATATAATGAAACCTCCAGTTGTATTGGAAAAAAAACAATAATTTCGCTATTGTCAGTGTGCCTTGTAGTTGTATATAGTATGCTATCATAAAAGTATTCAAGAGCAAAAGAATTTCGAAAAATAGTTGTCTAGTGCATGTGAGACATTGGACTCATTTTTCGGAGAGTGATCAGTGTGGACATGTACTCTAAGTCAGTTGTGAATTTGTGTTATAAAAATGTATCTGAACAGTGTATATATATATTTAACTGCCAGCTTAGCATTTTAAAAATTATTCTTAAATGTTAAGGAATTTATTTCTATCTGCAGTAGAAAACAATTTAAACAGAAACATGTTTAGCATCCCCAACGTTGTTTTGGAAACCACCACATTTTTCTCTCTTTTTTTTTTATTTTACCTCAGGAAAAAGAGGTAAAAAAAATGGCAAAAATGTCAACACATCCATCCAAAATACATGTCAAACTTTTGCAAGTCCGAACTTCTAAATTTAGACTGCATCAGTCACTTTGCATTTTATACAGTCGACCATGCGATCTCCAACCATGAATTTGCATGGCCACGTCCAAACTTCATTACCACAGTAGCAAATATACCACATTTGCCTATGGAAGCAACTGTGTTTTCACATTGTGCAAAACCGGGCGGCAAACTTACTAAACAATAATAGCTACTGTATTTCAGTTCTCTTGTCCTGCATGTCACCTTTTTATGTCCTTGAAAAGTGGAAACACAAAATACTGTTGAAAATTTGAAAAAATAAAAATTGCAGCCATCTTGAATGGAGAAAAATGACACGCCCCAGCTCCTTTCTTCTCTCAAAAACCGGGACAGTTTACATGTTTTTTTTCACTTGGCCACTGGGCCATTTATTCATTCTCTGTTCTCTTTTAACTATCTTTTGACCGATCTGAAAAAAAATGCTAGCCCCTTTACCTCTCTTGGGTAAATTAAAATGGCATTGTGTACATATTCTTGGTAAACCCCTATTTTTTATTTCCTTAAAAATCTGACAAAGCCTTACAGCATGAAGTGATTGATCTTTGCACAAAATGAGAAACAAAGTTTGTATTTCTGGCAATCGAGAATACATGTTTGAAACTCTGCAAATTGTAGACAATTAGATGCACCAATAAAATTTGTTTTAAAACTTAAGATATTCATATGAGAGTCTACCTATTCCTGCTTTTTCCCAACCCAAGGCAATTTGTGATGCTACAAATCAACCATTTCAGCCTGAAACACTGGGATTATTTTTAACTGGATCCAGGAGGGGGGTGCACCTGGCACGTGACCCCCCCCCCATTTTTTTCATCATTTTGAAAGGAAGCACCTCTTCCTTCATTCCAAGTTTGTCACCTACTCCCCTATCTGGCTATTCGACCTAAAAGGTTGACAGAAATTTTCAACTAAAAATATGCGTCACTTACACGTTTGAGTTGAATTTCATTCCAGTTGCCCGCCCTTTCAGAAATGTTATCTTTCCCCACCCCCATTTCCCCTCCCATGCATATCCAAGTTGTGGGTCTAGGGGGATAAATTCTTCCATAAACAGTCTAACTATAATCACTAGTAAAAGAATCCTCAACCTGCCCCCCAAGTGATCATACTATTTCCAGAATACTAGCATTTTCAAGCCTTTAAAAAATAAAGAAGAATTAGCAGGCCATTTTGTAGTAACTGTGTAGCCAGTGTTCCCTAAAGTGTCGCTGCAATGACTTTCTCACAAACACAACTTTACGTCCCTTTTAGGTTAAACTTAAATGCGCTGAATGTGCACTGCAAGTGCACTGTTTAACACACAGAGTTATCCATGCTTTCTAAGGACACTGTTTTTGTGACGTCATCTATGGAAGACATGGTTCGGTGCAACGTTTTTTGGGGGGGTTCAAATTATGATCCCAACATTAACACGCTGAAAACATTTATGAAGAAGGGGTCATTGCCTGCTTATTGCTGTGTACTTACACAAAAAAATCACCAAGGAAGAGTAAATTTAGGCTGGCAAATCTTTAAAAATTCAAGAGTTTTTCGTGCACAAACTAATGTAACATCGAGGTTTCTTCCTGAGATGACATCACAGTTTTGGTCATGAATATGGAAATACTCATTAGCATAAAAACCAAACATGCAGGAAAAAACTTTTTGAAATAGTGAAATAAACACTGAAAGTGAGGTCAACTGAGACACGAAGATGCATTTTGGAGGTCTGTAGTAAAAGAATTCCATTGTATCTACCCTTTAACATGTCTAATATATAATTCTCTACCGACTCAGCAAATGTAACCGTCAACTACTGGGGCATGATATTGGTTTGTATTAGAGATGGACAGAGAAACTATTGCCTATACTTACAGCATGTACCGCCCCGCCGTATATGGCCCTCCTCGCAGACCAATCCAGGCACCGTAGCAGCATCCACGCTGGTGTGCTTCTCGAAGAATGGGGCCAGCAATTGCCTCACTGAGCCATCCAGGTCATTCAGAAGGACCTCTTGGAGCGTTGAAACGAGCGTGTCGGCGTCCAGACTGGACTCAAGCGAGAAAGCGGGACGCTGCAAAAGGGAGGAGGGAGAGAAACAAACGTGGGAACCCGTTCAAACCGAGTATCAAGAAAAGGGGATAGCAGCGGGACTTTATCAAGCAAACGTGGGAACCCGTTCAAACCGAGTATCAAGAAAAGGGGATAGCAGCGGGACTTTATCAAGCAAACAACTCCAACGTCATTATTACCCATGCTCATCAGGGCCATTAACATTCTTAAAACTGTCTCAGCTCCCTGAGGAGTCTATACAGCATGAACATGCTATTTCAGGGGCAAACAGCTCATCAGATACACCAACCGTCTCTACCTTCACAGGTTCCCACTTGTACCCCTTGGTAGAAAGAGGGAAGTGGGAGTAAAAGGGTCATTCCGACAGAGGGCTATTTCAGACAGAGACAGCGCCGCCAGAAACACCTGTCATTTGAACGCAACTCAGCTCCATCTCTGAAGCTGACTCCGGAGCTTGGACTTGATCACTCAGCTCCACGGAATCTACAATGAGTTCATTATTTGTATTGGATGTACATGTAACTGAAAACTTGCCCTCTGTCTGAATGTACCCAAAATGACTTACCCAAAGTGACTTGCCCAAGGTCACAACCTGTAACGTTGGAGCTGGATTCGAACCCATGGCCGAGAGTTACAAACCCTACTCATCAGGCCTTACACCTCCACAATAAAAGAATAATTGAACTTATTTATAGCCCTTTAAACCTATCAACAGTGCCTGACTGTAAAAAGCAATTTATTACATTGATTATTTGTTTTTGGTAAACAGTTTCACCCCCTGCTACACCTCTGCACCAGTCGCGCACCTTGGCCAGTAACCCTAGTAACGCATCCTTGTCGACCTCTCGTCTCAGTCTGTCCCCTCCTCCCGCTCCTTCCCCCGCATCCATTCCATGTGGCCCACAGGCCACAAGAACGCCCTCCTCCGTGCACCCGTTGCCGCAGAATCCCGGCACTGCCTTGTCCATCTTCCGAAAGAGTCGATGGTACTTCTTCCGCAGCGTGGATCTGGCATCGACCGTGCCACAAGGGCCATCAAAATAATGGATAGACTTCTTAGAAAGTGATCCATCTTCTCCTTTTTTTTCTGAGTGCGAGAGGAAAAAATAAAATTGGGAAATAAGTACACAAGTTCCTTTTAAAGCTGATAAAAGTTACATTCAACTTTTGGTTTCTAGATTAGACTGGTCTTTGCAAAGGCATTGCATCTCCAACTTTCAGAAACATTTTTTACATTTAATAATTTTCCTTTACCAAGTATACTGCACTACATAACTAGTAAGGAAAACTAGAATGCGGAGAAGAAGCTTTTCCAATCAACTAAATCACAGATTGACTTGAGGATTTATATTTATATGTTCAACGTGATTCTGGAATATTTACAAATTTGTTTCCTGACAGTAACCATTTTGACCAAATTGCAACACACGTTTTTCACTGAAAGTGATTTCAAGGTAAAAGAAGAGACGCTCAAAAGAACAACTTTGAAACTCATCAACTGAGACCTTTAACGACACTGCTCAGAGAAAGTCTGGGAGAAAGTCCCACTTTGCCAAATTAGGAAATTCTCTACAACTACACAAGCGTGCTTCAAACGTTACTGTAGCACTGAGGCCAAGGTGTCCCCAATCTATTCAAGGTGGCTGTCCCAATGTCGAGGGCCTGCCATTCATGGGCTCCCACACTCCTTGAAGACTCAGCACACAGATAGAGGGCAGCAGGGGACTCTTGGAAGTCATATCCCTCTTGACAGGAGACGGCACAGAGTGCACCACCATCAAGCCAGCTCTCGCAGAGCAGGGCACCGTGGAGAGGGGGTTCCATGTAGGGGCACTCATAGGCTGTTGCAGAAAATAAAAGGACACCACTCATAAAAACTGACAAATGTGCTCTCACACAAAATGGCACCATTGAGGTCACAACACACACAAAATCATCAGTTTGTTTGAGAGAAGGTTCACTTCCTTCAATTTGGTTCGACGTTCTTGTCTATGGTTCAAGATTAATTTCAGGGAATATCAGTTTCCAATACGGGCGATTCACAATAGTGTGCCACCAAGAGTTTGCAACACGTTGGCCAATCATAATGTGCGAAATTTGTCGACCCTTTCCAAACGCGCATTGGGCCGACAAATTTTGCGCATTGTGATTGGCCAACGCATTGCAAACTCTTGGTGGCGCACTATTGCAAAACGGCTGTATTCTATGTTTTCTTATGGCAGGGATAGCAACTGTCAGGGTTCTGCCTAGAATTTTAGCAAAAGAAATTGCGTCTTTTGCCGTTGTCTTCAAATTATTTCTTCAATTACTATACTTCTCTGCAGGATTTCATACTGGAGCATCTTGATCTGCTCCTATAAAATTCCCATAAGTTCTGGGGCCAATTTCATAGAGCTGCTTCAGCACAAAATTTGCTTAAGCGCGAAAAAACCTTGCTTGATAAATCAGGTAAACAGCCAAAACTCCATGAAATGTATATTGTTTTGGGATCATACTTAGCTGTTTTTTGGTTAGCATGACAATCACATAGAGTTTGAGCTTGTAGCCTTTGTTTTTTAAGCAAGGTTTTTCATGCTTAAGCAAATTCTATACTTAAGCAGCTCTATGAAACTTGCACCCAGGTTAAAATAGTGGATATCAGCACACAATTATATTTGTGATTTGTGTTTACCAAATTGCAGTATAAATGCAAATTGTCATCCAAAGGAAACAAAGATGGAAGTGTATAGCCACATCAAACATAGAGCATACAAAACTTCTTAAAAGAATCTCTTGTGTCCAACATATAAGAACAAGAACTGTTCTACTATTTCTTGCATGGGCAGTTCAAATCTAGAATAGGCCTATGTCAGGAAACATGGAGGAGACAAAAATCTCCTATCATTCTGCCTTTTTACGTTTCAAAGACACCGTGAAGTTGCAGTACGCATCATTTCCTGCCTCATCACTGGCCTGGTACCACACCTCCTTCCGTGCATCGAGGCTTGCTATGATGCTGTCTGCCTGACTGTTGGTTTCCATGGATACGGCCTCCAAGTTGTCTTTGACCCTTGGGGGGTCCCAGAACACCTGCAGAGTCTGGGAGCTGGAGATCTCTGCCATATCCGGGGGGCACGTGAGAAAGATAGGTGGCTCCTCATCTAAAATGTGTAGATAAACAGATTGCACAGGCAAAGAAAGCTTGTCATACAGATGATTGACGCTAGTTCATACTTCGTACAAAAGTGAACTTGGATGAAAATTTGTGATGCCAGATCAAATTTTCACACTGAAAGTTTGCAAAAGGTGAGCCATTTTAACTCAGGTGAACTTCACAGCAAACATTTTGTGATGCCAAAGCTCGCTTCTCTTTTTGCATTCATGTAAAGTGCAAACTGGCCTTTACAGTGATTAACCCTGACCCCCTAAGGTGTATGTAAAATCTATTGAAATTGAAGGATTGGGGAGTTTAAGGGTTAAGACACTCACCCAGATACACAACTAACAAAAAGGATCTTAAACTCAGGGGGACTGTACCAAATATAAAGTTTCAATGCATAGATTATGTGGAGTGTTAATGCATGGTGGCAACAAGACTGGAAGTATTCCAACTACAAGCAACAGGGACATTAATCACTTCACAACGGACAATGTGTAAACACACAGGGATTTTCTGTTACAAGAAGGACATTTTAAAACATGGTGGCAATTTCCGTATGAGGTAGATCATGTCTGTGCTTGTCCCTGCCCAAGAATGTCACCAAATGAAATGATTCCTTCCATTGCGTAAAGCCAACTAAATTGCAACCTCATCTGAATATGTCTACTTGCCTGCACAAATCATCTATGCATCAACTACTACTTCACAAATTTCTCGAGGGCATGCAATGGAACTTCCATTAATTGTAGAATGGCACTTCCATCTGCTGTGGAATGGAACCTTCTTTGCAATGTGGCGATGCCAAGCACTTGCACAAATAATTCAATGCATGTAGCTGACAAACCACCAATCAGAGGGCAGGGATTTATTCATTGTACAATAACAGACATTGGTTTTCGCACCTATAATTTCAACACTAAATGAGCACTCTGCATGCTGCCCCATTTCATCCACAGCGGAATAACTGACCAAGGTTGTTCCGATTCTTAAGACAACGGGCGGCTCAACTGTGGACACGACTGTCAACTGACTGCCTGACTGGTCTACAGCCTGGGGGGTGGTCCAAGAGACCATGGCAGTTGAACGGCGGTGGTCAGTCGGTACGACTGTACCACTTGGACAATTCAGCCACTGTGGTGGTGAAAGGCCTGAAAAACAAAGTAATAACAAAAAATATTCAACCTGTGCCAATTTTGTTCAGTCACTGACCATTACATAATCATTGGTTGATTTTGCCAGGCACCCAGAATATATGTTGTGCATAAGGTTACCAGGGAAATCCAACCACTGGCTGAACAAATTGTTGCTGAGCCTTGATGCATGTAGTTTTGAAGTACCACTAAATGACACATCGTCCATAGAATTTGTACACAGCATGCATCAGTTCATGGTATGGCAATAAATGGTACGCCACTTTGCGGTGTCAGCAATGACACTGGTAAACAACACTGGCTTGAATTCACAAAATAAAAATGTCTGAAAGCAGAGCCCGATGAACCCGATGCTGTGGTCAGTTCTTAAGGCACCACTCAAGTTCCAGTTTAGCGGTCTAGACTATCACAAGACATAACAAATGAGCGTTCACAAGAGTTATAGGCCATGACAGGGCCATTCATGAGACTAGGTCACAAAACCAATCACAAGACCAGCTACAGAACTGGGCACAGGACCAGTCACAGGTAACAGGGTGAACAATGACAAAGGAATGCTTTTGTTGCAGTTCATGTGAAAAGCCTGTGACTTGAATTCCGACCTGAGTCCCTCTGTTGGTCTGACTATCTTGTGATGGTCTGACTGGTCTAGACAGCAACCCTGCTATGTTCCATCGCACAGACCAGACCCAATTACAGCAACACGCAAACTCCAGTCTACCAATTGTACCTTGACACACCGTCGGTGTCGATGCATCACGAGACCACTCCCCATTCTCCTGGCACACCCACACAGGTGCACCCCCGCTCATCCGGAATCCGTCGATGCACTGGTACCGACACTCCTCCCCGGGGCTCATCCCCCTCTCTCCGCATGAAGGCGGAGTCAGGGTCATGTTGGGTCTTGCCTCCAATGTTGGGCAGCTCACAACTGCTGTTGGTGCTTGCGGAAATCAAGGGTCAAAAATTGTGTCAAAAGGGAAACAAACGCATGGGCTCAACTTGGCAGTGTGGATTTGAATCCCTGACCGGAACTCAAGTCAGACTGAAGTTGCAATTTTTTTGGACTGAGGTGAGGTGAGACAATGAGAGGTGAGGTGAAATGAGATGATTTGGCGTGACATGACGTCACTTGACTTCAACAAACTTTTAAATTTAAAACAAAAAAATAGATCTCCATGTATGACCTTCAGTGGGTAAACCAAACAACTCTGTTTTCATTACACTGATGTTTCCTATAAAAATATGTGCATTTATGATCCACAACAGGCAAACAGATTGGACCTATTTATACAACAATCACACGTCCTGTTTCCGACAAAGGATTTCAGAAAAAGGGTACAAGTTCCACACACCGATGAACATATTTGATAAGCTTGAAAAAATGACTCGACTTGCGGAAAGAGGACTTGTGATGTGGCTTGTCGGAAAAATGAGCAGTGACTTAAATGGACTTGTGGAAAAATGAATTGCGGCTTTCCAGTAAAATGACTGGCGACTTGGCTTGTGGAAACATGGGGGAGAAATGAAGCTCGGAAGTTTACTTTGAAGAATGTTTCAGTTCTGTGAAGGAAGATGCTTTTGAAAAATTCTTTGGTTTCATTTTCAGAATGTGTAAATAGTGACACCACTTGTACCTTCACAGACTGGTATCGGTCCACTCCACACTGGATCACCAATGTCTGTACTCTCACAGCTGATTGGTTCATCACTGGCCAATCCAAAGCCTTCATTACAGGCAAATGAGCACGTAGTGCCAACACGGTACAGGAGGTCATCACAAGTTACTCGTCCATTAGCGGGGGAGCCGGGAGCTCGGCAGAACTCCTCAGTTGGAACAGCTGAGAAACAGAATAAGACAAAAAGCAAACAAACTGAAATTGTCGGTCAATTTACCATTTGAGTTGTCTTTAAACAACGTAAAAGAGGATTCCATCCGGCAGCTGCATTATTCATATACTGTTTTACTTCTGGTGATGATACTGAAGATTTCTCAGAAGAGTTTGAAACACTACACTGTGATCATGGGCGTCAATCGGTGAGGGCCGGGGGGGGGACTTTTGCAAGTAGGGCGATACTATATCAATTGTCCCCCGAAAACTTTTTTCCAAAACCTAAATGAAAATGTATAGCTTGCAAAAGCATTTGTTAAAAAAATGGCTAAAGTAGTCAAAAAAATTGTCTCAGATCACCCCACAGAGCATCTACACTCAAACATTTTCCAGGACCCTTGAGCGGGCCCCGGACCCACGCCGCTCACAGCTTCGCACTCCCATTTGCTCGGATCAGGGCTATGCCCCCCACTGTTCAAAACAGATTGACGCCCTTGACTGTGATGTAACTGGGTCACATTTTACAATGGGGGCATTTGGAAAGCCCTCATCTTCCGAAAGAGAGCACTGAATTGGTTAGTCACATTCTGACTTAAACACTGACCGAGGCGACCTATCACCAGAGTTTTCCCTGCTCTAATTATCTGGGGTAAGGGAGGAGTGTGGGGGGGGGGAAGAGGGGGTAACAGGCCTTGAACGGGAAAAGGGAATATGCTCCCCATTAGTTACGAGACTGCCATTGCGCTGTGTATCTCAAGAGCCTGAAGGAACCTGCAGAGAGAAGGCAATAAAGGAATGTTCAGGGCTTAGAGGTGGGAGGAAAATCCCAGTCAAACACTCCACAGAATCAGGTTGGGGCTGAGAACTAAATCCACATGCTGACTTTGGTTGAATTTGGTCCAGGGTCACAGAGATGAAAGACAAAGCAAGGTGAAGTACTACTGTGCCAACCTGGCTCCCAAAATCTACAAATGCGGGCTACGGACTTCTGAAACATTGAAATGGTGAAAACAATCGGTCATTGTTCAGTTTTTCGAATGCATACTTTCACATTTGGAGGTTGGGCCACTCCAAACTGCTGTGCCATTTTCCGTAATCTCACAGGTGACTGATCCGTTGTGAGCCAAAACAAATCCATCCTTGCAGGCGAATGAGCACTCCGTGCCGATGCTGTGATCGGGCTTATCACAGACCACTTGTCCATCGGAGGGAGTGATGGGCTCAGGGCAGAATCGCTCAAGCACTGGTAAGGCTGCAAATGATCGAAAACTGCATGATATTTCATGGTTATTTCAAGGTTACTTCATCACCAAACCCAATACCATTTTTCAAAGAGGCTTTCAATTTTTTTGCAACACTGCTGAAACAAGAATCATGTTGCCTGACAAATAAACAAGCTTTCCCTATCTTGTCTTTGTCTCTGCCTAATAGTAGGCTTTATCTCTGCTTACATAAATGCAGGCTTAAATAAATAAAAATCTAACCATCTTTGGCTCAAAGGCATACATTCCAAGTTCCCAAGGCAAAACCATCTTTAAACAAAGTTGGAAAAAACTGTAGGACAGAGGGGTAATAAAGTGGGCAGACAGAGCCAGAGAGGGCTTTTAAGTAGAAATCAGAGAATTCCAAAGCATGGAACAGGGGAACCAGCAAAAAAGGAGAGTAAATTTCACGTGGCCTGTAAAAATGAGACGGTTACAGATCAGGCATTGAACTTTCCAGATCATTTATTGAAAAAATTCAACAATAACCAAACATTTCTAAAGATTTTTTAAAACGAACTTCAATGAAATGAGCATGCTCTATACTTATGATTGTCCTGGTGGGTATTAGGGACCAACCTTCTTTTGTGAGTATAACACAAACCCTGCTGAGTACATGCATGTCGTGCACACAACTTCCATGCCTTTTCAGAACTAGGCCCAATTTCACCGAGCTGCGAAAAAGTTAGCAGAAAAGTTGTGCATACTACAGCAGAACATTTTTGTGCCTGTACTTACGGTTGTGTGCGCATAGAGATTTCCGTTGTATTGTCACTATGTTAAGCAAAATTTTCCGTGCTTGCTGCTTAACGGTTTCACGAAATACACAGAGCCTCTGTAAGTGTAACGTTATGTGCTTAGAAGTGCCATGATATTGGGCCCAGACATCACATGAACTTCAAACAGGTCTTTACTGCACTACAATAAATCTTGATCAACACAAATGCCAGCAAGAGATGATGTCATAGCAGGCATTATCCTCTCAGTCTTGTATACATGTCGAGATTCACTTCCCTTAAAACTGAATCCTTTCGAATAGTCAGTAACTTCCAAAGTTTGATTTCAACCAAACAGGCATATCGTAATTTCGGAAAGATAGATCGAGTTCCGTATATGGAGATCCCCAACTTTGTTACATTCATTATACATGCAGAAAAGAAATGGGGGGTAGGCCTACCTGTCAATGCCTGCAGTAAAGTGAATCTCCCGTCACACTTGCCGAGTGAAAATTAACGGATCTATATTTTCCAAGCTGGGGCCTAATGGTTACTGTTATTGTTTGGGAAGAACATGTATTGAAATTAAGGAGATTGTACTTGGGGACCCCCCCCCTTTTTGTCATTTTAATCTTGCAAACTCATGAAACTGGTAAGTCCCCCCCAAAAAACAAAGGCAACAATCTCCTTATTGCGCTGACCCTATTTTTTGGAAATTACAATTTGTAAATTGAGAAAATGTGACTTCTTACTGAAAAACCAGCCAGGCAAATTTGAATCCACCATGCGTCATGTGTTGAAACACAGTTTTATCTCATAATAATTTCCCTCAAAACCCTGCCCTTTTGAATTCAAAAGCTAAAATGTTGCTCTCCCTTCTATTATAGGAACAGGGTCCCAAATTTACAATCCCCGAAATTAAAATCGTGGAAGGAGTTCCATATATCCGGAAATCACAATTGCTGCCTGGACAAAGTCTACGAGACTGGTCTGAAAAATTGTGTCATACACGGCACATGCATTATGTAGGCCTAGGGCTAAGTGTACTTTTGCGTGAATTATGATGTGTTCGCTTTCTGATAGTAGGCTCCTAATAAGCCACTTCAAGCCTAGGGAAAAATTAGAGTTGTTCATACGTAGAAATCTCACCAAAATTACGAAAGGCCGCCGGAACAGCCTGTCCTTTTGACAGCTCCATGATTGAACTAAGCCAAAGGGTCTTTCATGCCGGGCCCGAGGTGCCAGATGTACTGTCACCTCGTACTGGTCCTAGGCTAGGTATACCTCCCCGGCCCCCGACACAGTTCGAATGCGAAAAACCCACGTGTTTGTCAACCCATTATTTTGAGGAAGCGCCCTCACCTGTTACATTTGCATAAGTTTGGGGAAAGCGCCGAGCAGCCGCTGTTCTCAAAAACTTTTAAAGCCACGTCAAATTTTCCAGCTTGGGCTCGTGTTGGTAAGTTTGCAAATATTTGCTTTTTCCAACAGTCTATTAACTTAAGATATACGTTTCCGGTTTCTCACTAACCTGAGCAATTTCCTATTCTTCCATCGCCACTGTAGCCGGGTGGACAGACGCACCCAAACGTCCCGATGTCCGTGTGGCACGCGCACCGAGCTCGGGCATCGCAACACGACGGGTCTCCGGTCTCTGAACGGCAGAGTCCGTGGCAACGGCTGCTGTCCACGTACGAGACGGATGGACTCGGTGGAGGGATTTCTGCCGAAAGAAATCATCACAAACATTGGTAAACCACCTGGTATATTCATGTTTTCTGGTGAGTGATATTAAGAGTCAGTCTTTAGTTTACATTCGCTTGGACTGCCCTACGGTCTAATGTAAGCCTGATTTCAGCCAAATTGTGAAATGATTTTCCTTGACAGAACTGTTATCATTTATCTTTTCGTCACCGACATTTTGGGTCAAAGGTCATCCAATATCACTTCTTATAATTTTCTTAATTTAATGGTAAAAATTACAATATGCTTATTCACCCACAATAGTGCTTCAATCTAATGCCAGAATTGGACAGTTACATACTAGGACCAAGGCCCAGATTAGTGGAATTCATACTGGTAATTGTTATAGGCCTAAATCCTTTGTATTTCTAAGTTTTAACCATTCTCTGAGAATAAAGCATGAAAATGATGAAATTTGCAACAGAAAGAGAATGAACATGTATTTCGCATTCGCCCCTAAGAGGAATGACAAATTCCCTATCACACAATTGGTAATGGTGGAAAATTTAAATGGCTTTCGATGCGATTTGTTGTGACAATAAACAAAAGATTGCTACACGAAATGGCATTGTACATCAGAGATGCCACTTTCCCGGTTTTATCCGGATTTCCTTGTTTTGTGTGTTTTTTTTTTAACAAACCCCGGAAATTGCATTTTTTCCTTTTTTCCCTTTTGGCTCAAAATAAAATGCTGGAAAAGAGAATACAATGGGGTATATGTATATTTTCACTTCTGTGCATCTCTATGCACACAGCATGCACGTGTAGCTCTATCCCTTTAGTAGCCTTACAAACAAGGCTGCCAATCTTACATGTGGTGCATTGCATGCTGCCTGCACCTGCATGCATTTATGATTGTTGAAACACTGGAGTGTCAGCAGCGCTGGGCACATTTATCACACTGCCTTGACTTCAAATCTATAATGTTAGTCAGTGGTTCCCAATCACAGTGATTTTGTGGATAGAAATATTCTACATAATAAGCCGGGAACCAAGTACACCATGACTGTGCACTTGTGTTTCACCAGATGAGCTGTCAATTGACGTCTGCAACCTAATTGTGCCCGATCTGGAGTAAAAAAAAATCTCATGTCATGATACAGATTTCGTCAAAATATGGAAAAATTGAAAATTTTAGAAACAACAGACAACTTAAAAGCCATCCAATCACAGGTGGAAAGTTAAGTGAAACCAGACACTGCTGTAAGAGAAGAGAACCCCAGTCTTTATGCACTCTGCTCTCTACGCTCGGTCGTGCACTTCAATACTATTTGCTACGATTAAAAGTTCCCTTTTATTAGTAGACCCTGTTGCATCTGTGTGTTCATGCATGTTAATGTCTCATGCAGTGCTCCACTCGCATGGATCTCCAGTCTTTAGTTGACAGTGTTTATCTTTGTGCACAATGTTAATGTTAAAACGTAGACAAAATCTACACTTTGACAATTGAAATTTAACATCTTTAAGTGCTGTGCTGTGCATGTAAGAAGTTTCTTCAGTCAACTTATAAAACTTTATACAATATCACTTTTGATGTAAACATTTTTTTCCCTTGACAAGGCAGAGTGGAATGAGCTTATAGGCTGGCTGGCACTCTTCAGTTATGCAAATAGTACCTGCCAGTTTTGTTTTTGTTTTGTTTTACTTGAGGGAACAAATGACTTGTGACCTGACTGGAGAGAACTTGTCAGTGTGACTTGGCTTGTGGAAAAAATAGGAAAGAATTCTGTATGGAGACACCAATTGACACCCCGTGCACAAACCCTATGTGTCTGGTCTGAAAAAAAGTGTTTTCTAAGTGAATACCCCAATATTTTCACTGCTAAATTTGACTTTACGGGACATTTTGTTACTTTCAGATGGCCAACAGATCACTGTAGGGAAATATTATTGGTGTCCGTATGTGGAATTTCCCCCCCCCCCAAAAAAAAAGACTTGTGAGTGTGACTTGATTGGTAGTAAAATGACTTGTCAATGGGACTGGACTTTCCAAAAAATTACTTGGTTTAATACATAAGGACAGCCATCAGTCTCAGTAAGTATGCAATCATCGATGCTTCATTTCCTTCTTTCAACAGGAAGATGTACTTTGGAAATGTTGATGGTGGATTACGATGCCATCTTCTTCAAACATTGCAGTGCATCTTGACTGAGCAATAGCCACCTCCAGCTACTGATCTGTCTTGGTGACCAGCCCCCCCCGACCTAGTTGCGAGAGCCGTCTTCAGTGTCATTGTGGATGGTGCGGCAAGTACAGTCACCGTTGTACACTGCAATGTAAATGCCCGAGCTGTTGCTGCATAAACCGGCACAGGATATGACTGCCTAACCATTGATGGTTGGTTTGATGGGGAACACGGTGGTCTGGAGTCTTGGCTGGTACTGCATGTCAGAGTTGCCCATTTATGATCCTGTGTCCAGTTTTCTGTACTTTACACCTTGCGGTGTGTCTTGACCAATAATAATAATAGTCAGTGACTGCCAGCTACTGATCTGTCCCCGTGACAAAGCCCCCTTCCCCCCCACCTCTGCCTAGTGGGAGAGCCGTCTTCTTTGTCACTGTGGATGACACAACTAGCACAGTCACCATTGTACCCTGCAATGTAGATGCCCGGGCTGTTGCTGTATAAAAACGGCTAAGGATTTGATTGACTGACCATGTGAACGCTGCAGTCTTGTATCTTCACTGGTATGGTGTGTCGGAGATCACCATTACCATTAGTGGTTGCGTTCCAATATTCTTCTATACTTCACACCTTGTGGTGTGTCTTGACTGTTAGTTAGCAACTACCAGCTACTGATCTGTCTCAGTGATCCATCCATCCCTCCCCCCTCAGCCTTGTAGGGAGAGCCGTCTTCAGTGTCACCAGCATAGTCAGCGTTGTACCCTGCAGCGTAAATTCCTGAGCTGTACGTTGCTGCATACACATGTGCGGGATTTGACTGCCTGATCATTGATGGTTGGTTTGATGGTGAACACGTTAATCTTGAATCTTAAATGGTGTGGTACATCTGAGTTCACCATCAATGGACCTGTATTCAGTCTGCACCATCCTCGTCATATCACCCACCACGATGGTTCCATTCTTCATGACCGCCACCTTCCAGGGGTGGATGGAACCATCTTCATTGGAGGGCATCTTCTGACCTGAAAGCTGTTCATTTTGTTTCCTTTCTCTGATATTGTCTTTGATACTTTTTTTCTTGCTGTCGATGGTCGGTCAGATGGTAAGCAGTGTAGCACCATTGCCATTAGCAATGTCAATAGTCTTGAACCATTGCTGTCAACACGGTCAATTGTCTTGAACAATTACTGTCTGCATGGTCAATAGTCTTGCACCATTGCTTTCAGCATGGCCAATAATCTTTCATCATTGCTGTTAGCATGGTAATAAGGTAGCACCCTTGCTATCGGTAACATCTAACTCATGAACTGCCAAATATGAATAGATTACTTGGTATCACATTCTCCTGGTCACAGAATTTCTTGATAAATCCTCAATAACCACCAGACTTGAATGTTGTGTGTTGCAACACTAATGAGTGGTCTGTGTGGAGAGAAATATCGAACAATTCTCGGTTATGTCACCTCCCCTTAGGCCTTTTTATCAAGACAATTTAAACTTAATGTTTAATTTTCATTTCTTAATGCTTTCATCGTTGTTCTTATTCTGCCACTACTTGATTGTGCTCCTACCCTGTATTTCCCTCTTTCTGTCTCCTCTGTCCAGCCCTTAATTTAAAATGCCTTTAATGCCTTGTGATGGGCAAACTTGATCTAAAGAAGGACTGTAATACGTGCAAGAAAATGACCACCATAGTGGTAATCTTGAAATATGGAGGCTGTGTCCTTCACGTCAACATGTCCTTCTGCAGTGTTCTCTTGATAAGTGGAAGTGTGAGGTGTAGCATCCAAGTACCATTCCCATTTCTCAATCCAATCAATTCTTGATCGCATTGAGAAATCACTGCATATTTTATATTGCAGTACTCTTTCTGTATGTTTCGATGACTGGGATTGTCTTCAGCCCCTAAGTCATCCTGTATCGGTAATAATGATAGAGTACAGAAATGCGCCGTGGAAAAAGTTAGGAGTAGCACTACATCGTACAAACTGTTAACTGAGAATACGTGTATTTCTTTCAGGTTATCACCTACTAGTAGTGTAAACCATCTCTATGTAAACATTCTTAAGTAGCACATGACCTTCTTGAAGGGTCATGCTGCAAAGGTAACCGCAAATTGTGTGTGACTTTCCATTCCTCTTAAATGAATGTGTATTTATTAACCAGTTGAAATTCTTTTTGGTTAATTGCAATGGCATGAGAAGTGCATTTCTTTAAACACAAATTTTCCATACTTTTTTGACAACCGAGGGTGTTGTTGGTGAAAGCCACTCTTCAGAGTTCTTACATGTCCAAGTTAATGTTTAACCAACTAGTGGTCTGTGTAGTGAAAAGGGCAAAGCCACAAAGGTTTCCTTTCTTGCTAAACGTTACATTAGGCCTAAACCTATATACATGTACAGGTGTTCTGCAAAGTTATTAAATAGATTAATTTCACTTACCGTACTCAGGTATCACATTACTCACTAACTTTGGCTAAGAACATGAACGGTAATGCTTGTGGCAGTGCAAATGTTCGTAAAAAAATTAATTCACTTGTAAACAATATTCCACCTTTTCACTGTAAACAAATGCTGCAAAGACCGCATAGCACCGTGCAGATTGTATACCCAGCAAGAAATGAGACCGAGGGGTACCCCCCCCCCAACATGTCCAATTCCTGTACACATTCCAGACTATTGTTACTTAACACATCCCCCAAGATGTCTGAAAGGAATTCCCCAGATTCCTGCGAGACAATGACCAACACAAAGCAGGGGGAGGGTTCTCTCCGTCTCATATCTTCCTGCATATGGCAGATTGTTTGTATGCTTGTTAATATGTGAAAGTTATGTAATGAAGAGTTGCATTACAGAGTGTCAATAAATTCGTTGAACAAATTGTTCACTGAACCATACACATGTAGTTCTCATTTCATCACAGAGTACATGTAGTGTAAAAGTTTCCCGTTTCAGAAGACGAGGTTGAATGTGCAGAGTGTGGCATGGGCAGTCCATGTAATATACAGTGCTCGAATGATGACGTAAGTATTGTGTAATTGCTTCGAAGGAAAAAAAGTGACAAATGCAAATATTCCCATCTTGTTCTCTCGACGAATGACATCTAACACCTTTTAAGTTTAAGCAGAAGACTGGGACACGGAGTCAACAAGTAAAACTGAACATTTATTACAAAGGCCTAGGCAAAAAAAAACAAGTTCCAGTTTCTGGTGAGGAGCTGGATCCAAAGTGGTGCGGCGACCCGGCTTTTTTACATTCACTTTTTTTTCTGGAAATGATGTACCGGTCCGTATAACGCGCGATCTCCATACACATCGCGACTGTATGCGCGCGTTACGCTGACCGCTACCAACTAGAACTTGGCCCCGCTCTTTCTGATTGTTTGACCTGGTTCCCAAATGTGTAATACAAAAAGATGGTGTTCCATGTGTGCCATCTGGTCGCATTTTTCGACGGGCGTCGCATTTTTCGACCGGCGTCGCATTTTTCAACGGGCGTCGTATTTTTTAACCGGCGTCGCATTGTTTGACGGGCGTCGCATTTTTCATTACTTCATCGGAAAGACCTATGGAGGCCAGGATCTCGTCCATCACCAGTACCGCCAGCTCATTATAAAACACTCGAAACCTAGACTAATAAAGAATGAAGTAGATACCAGACCCATTTATTCTGACTACTCTTCTTATCAAGGTTAGAAGTAAGGAAACGGGGGGTTCAGGATCAACCCAAACCTCCTAACCTCATCGTCCCCCCCAATATCTTAAAAACCAAAGCCCGGCAACCCTCCGACTCTACCATTCAAAACTTTTAAAAAGCCCTACAATCCCAAAATCCAAAAATCAAACTCGATTTTAAAAAGACCAACGTTCAATGTTAACGAGCCTCGGTTTTCGATTACTGCAAAAATGGGACGATGAGGTTAGGAGGGGGTCAGCTCGCTTCCGGTACCCCCCGTTTCCTAACTACTCTGTACCTTCTTTCTTTGACGACGAATTGATTCACTTTTTCGAATTTTACGCAAAGTATATCGAAGATAAAGCGTTGGCCGAGTTAAAAGAGTTAAACTCTTATAAGTTACAAACGGTAATCAAGGTCAAGTTCAAAATGGAAAAGCCCGGCGTCGAAATTAAATTTGTCGTTTTCACATTCACAATAAAAAATGTGGTATTTTCTGGACAAGTCAAAGATGTGTTAAACGAACAAATGGCTAAACATTTAGAGGACGTCGAAGCTCGCGAGCAGCGAGGTTCGGGCTGGGTGTTTTACAAAGTCGTCGCGTTTTATATCAACGTGGTAAAATTCAACCCAAAATATTTAGCAGACAAAAAAGCAATTATCAACGCTCAAAACAAAAGTGACTCAGAGTGTATTCGTTGGGCGCTGAGAGCTGCTTTAAAATTATATTTGGACAATGTCAAACATCAGTTAGAAACCAACCCAAATTACAAAATAAACAACGAACGTACCTCGACGTAAACGATAGCCGACGGCTTAAATTTCACAAAAGTGGACTTTCCAACACCCTTGTCACAGATTCCACGAGTCGAATCGCAGAATAACTTGGCAATTCACGTGTTTGGTTATACGAAGAAAGACGGCATTTATATACTTTACAAAATAAACAAACAGACGAGCCCGTCAATTTACTCTACTTTACCAAAGGTGAAACAGCCCATTACTGTTGGATTAAAAGTTTCTCTCGTTTAGTGTGCGATGCTACTAAACATAAAGCTAAATGACACGGGTGTTTCAAATGCCTGTCTCACTTTCAAACTAAGCAAAGACTAGACAGACACCAAGAAGACTGTCAAGGAATGGACACGGCGCCCTGCAAGGTGGTACTTTCCGAAAAGGGCAAAAATATTCTCAAATTTGAAAATTATTAGAACAAGCAGGACGCCCCTTTTGTCATCTACGCAGATTTCGAATCTGTTTTGGAACGTCTGCTCCCAAAAAAATTAAACACGTGAAAAACACAAATTCACATCCCATGCGGCTATTCATATGCGGTTGTCAGATGTGACGGTGTATGTACCAGTCGCGAAACATGCAGAGGCCGAGACGTGGGCGTTAGATTTGCGCAGTCGCTTTCCAGAGAAGTTGCCACAATCAACAAAACATTTGCCGATCCCAAGCCCCTAACCTGGTCGCGTGAGTTACAAAAAATCTACGACGAGTGTAAAGTGTGTTGGGTCTGCGAGAGGCCCATCGGCAAAACCAAAGAGTCACATTGCCAATGTCAAATCCCGGACGAGCCCAAAACTAAAAGCAAAAAAGGCCGCTTTTAGTTCTTTAAACGACCACGGTTTCAAAGACTACATTTGTATGAGTTGCGAAAAGCCCATCAATAAATTTCGTAAAGTCAGAGATCACTGTCACGTGACGGGTAAATCTCGAGGTCCTGCACATGCCAACTGCAATCTCAAGTTACGGGTCGTGCCTTATCGAACGCCTGTTCCAGTGATTTTGCACAACTTGGAAAAATACGCCGTGCGCATTTAATTATGCAGGGTCCCCAAGCATTCAACGGAAGTAAAATTAACGTCATCGCTAAAAACACGAATAATTACATTTCAGTTAGCTTTGATCAACTTCGTTTTTAAGAATCGTTTCAATTTATGGCTGCTTCGTTAGATCGGTTAGTAAAAAATTTTTCACCCGAAGATTTCAACCTGCTTCGCAAAAGGCTCCCAAATAATACGAGCCTACTTTTAGAGAAGGGAATTTACCCTAACGAGTATATCGACTCCTTTGATTGATTTGAAGAAACCGACCTGCCCCTCTAGCCGCATTTGACAGCACTTTGAAGCAGCAGTCCGTTACTCCCGAAGAATACACAAGAGCACAAAATGTATGGAAAACTTTCGAATGTCAAAATTTGGGAGACTACAACGATTCATATGTCGAGAAAGACACTTTACTTTTAGCCGGCGCATTTGAAAACTTTCGCCAAGTGTGCAAAAAACATTACGGCTTAGACCCGGCCAATTACTACAAGTCTCTGGGGCTTTCGTGGGATGCTCTTTTAAAGCACTCTGGCGTGGAGTTGGAGCTTTTGACAACCATCGACAAGCATCTGCTTTTTGAAAGGGCTAAACGAGGCGGCTACGCCAAAGCAAATAATCCAGATTTAAAAGACTACGACCCTAGCAAACCGACTTGTTGCATCATGTATTTAGACGCAAATAGTTTATATGGATGGGCCATGAGTCAGCCTTTACCTTTCAAAAATTTTTGATGGGTTCAAGACACGGGTAAATTTACTCCCGAGTACATTTCGAAACTTTCCCCAAAGGCGACAAAAGGCTATGTGCTCGAATGGATTACCCAAAACATTTACATGACAAACATAACAATTTCCCACTAGCACCCGAAAATATCTCGGTGCCAAACGAATGGTTGTCAGCATACCAAAAAGATTTGACAGAAAACGGAGAGAGGGTTAGTTCCACAGACAAGCTCGCATCCACTTTGAGCACAAAAACAAATACGTGGTTCATTATCGCACTTTACAAAAATATCTGGAACTCGGTTTAGAATTAAAACAAGTTCACCGAGCAATGTATTTTAAACAGGCTCCTTGGATGAAGAGTTACATCGATAAAAACACAGAATTGAGAAAATTAGCCAAGTTCGATTTTTAAAAAGCCCTTTTCAAATTGATGAATAATTCGGTCTTTGGAAAGACGATGGAAATTTGCTGAGAGATGTACAAGACGCCGAAAGGTATAAGAAACTAACTTTTAAACCAAATTATAAAACGACTACCTCGTTTAAAGGGTGCGAGCTCTCATTTGTCGAAATGTATCGCATAAAAACAAAGTTAAATAAGCCCATTTACTGCGGCGTAATCGTGCTAGACTTGTCCAAGACTCCAATGCAAGACTTTTACTACAATGAGTTGAAAGCCGACTTTGGCTCAGACGTCTGTCTATTATATACAAATATGGACAGTTTATTAGTCGAGATTCAAACCGACGATTTCACCGAGTCCCTGCGTAAAAAGCGTAGTTTTTTTCGATTTGAGCAATTATCCATGGGATCATATACTTTACGATCCGAAAAATAAAAACATCATCGGCAAACAATATCGGAAGTCGTCTGCATACGTCCAAAAATGTACTCGATCTTAACCGAGCGTCAAAATTTGAAAAAGGCGAAAGGAGTTACAAAAATCGTAACCGAAAAAAGGTTGTCACACGAGGCCTATAAAAGGTGTGTATTTGAAAAACGCAGCGTTTTAATAAACAGCAGTTATTTAGATCTGAGAAGCATCTGCTATTCACAGTCTCGCAAAATAAATTAAGTCTTTCGCCCTTGGATGCATAGCGTTACATATTACCAGATGGAATTAACACTTTAGCTTAATTACGGTCATTATAAAACTATTCCAGACGGCGGTAATTCGGTGTTCTTTTCTTACATAACTTCGCTTTGGCCCGTCCAGCAAATAATTTTAAGTGGGCCCCGTTTTTACACGCTTGCCATTGACCCCTTTAAATTGACTTGTACGTTTCTCAATTTGGTAAACGTCTACGGACCAAATGGGATCAGTTTCTCTTTTAACTTTACCTCCTTCTTGCTCGCCCGGATAATATAAATATCTAACCAAAACGTCTGGGGGAAGTTCTTTTTGGGTTTCCCTAGGAGGCGCGCTGGGTGC